AAACAAAGGACTAACAAGATGACACTTTTTTTTAAGACACGAAAAAAATTGAAAAACTCGAATAAAAAATTCAAAAATTTCGAACAAAAAATAACAAAAATTCGGCCCCTCAGCAAAAGGCAAAACCAAAAAAAAAGAAAAAGATAGGATAAATAAAAACACGATCAGCACCTCTCAATGAAAGCGCCAATGATGAAGGACCGCTGATCGGTGTTGTTATTTATACGTTGGGTGTGAACAAACGGCGCACTCAGGGCCTTCGTTTATCCACGATAGGTGTATCTAACAGACGCACTACGGCCTTCTCCTAGATACCGTGACTTCAAGACGCTCTAACGGCCTTCTTTCCGACACTGTATGTAAACACGCACTAACGGCCTTGTATAAACACACGTAAGAAAAACAAGTTCCCCCTATGAGATTCACTCATCAATTCCAAGACTCAACATGTTTATTAATGAAGAGGTCCATGGGTATTTATAGGTACCAACTATCTCTAATGCTAATCTTACTAGGAAACTAATAAAACAATTAAATATTAAATCCTAAGGCTAGTAAATATCCTACTACCATAAATTCCTAAATCTAGTAGATCTCCTAATTACTTGTCTTGCACTCCAAACCATCCTAGAAGCACAAGTCTTGCGCCCCAAGACCACCGCCTTGCGTCGCATGCGCGCTCTTGTGCGCGCGCCGACCTCGCCCTTGCGCGTGCGCCCCAGCCCCTCTCGCCTATGCCTACCGCATTTAGGCATCCCGCGCGCTGCCTCTGCACGCGCGCGCCATCACGCGCACTTCGCACCTGCCGCATCCCGCCTGCACGTGCACGCCGTCCCTTTGCCATGCCTAGTTCCACGAGGACTAGGTGTTACGGGTCTAACTTTGGGGCCCCGGACTTGGCACGATCCCTTAGAGTGCCAAGGTCCTAAATACCCGAGCACAAAGGTGCGAGGGTTCAACTAAGGGAAGGATGCAAGCTGGGCGCGTCCTTGTGGCTGAAAGTCGGGTTCAGTCGGGTCTTCGTGGGGCGACGAAGTCATATGTGCATTACTTAGCTGAAATTGTCCAAGTGTTGGTCGGATCATGTTTGTTGGTTAAGTCGAGGGCTCAGTCGGACGAGGGTTGTTGCGGGTTGTGCATGGCCTTGCAGTTACGTTGGTTTAACTCAGA